CAGGACAGTCTGCGAGTTGATGTTCAATGGATAGGCTCAGAGATGGGAATTTTAAAAATACAGACAACGAAAAGTGACTAACAAAAAAGTCAAAACCATTTTTTATGGCACCAGGATACTAACACTCATGGCACTGTGACCCCCGTCGCCCTGGTGAGCAAGAGCAGGCACCAGTCATGTGGTCACATGGCTCGCCGTCCTCGCACGCGCATCGCTCGTTGCATTCCTCGCCGAAGTAGCCGTCGGGGCAGACTGTTCAAGAGGCATATGAATATCATATAATGGTGAAACTGACGATAGACGGCGAATTTTTACTTATCATAGGCCAACTAAAACTATGCAGTTACGTTTATCATTGTGAGTGGAATGTATTTATTGTGTTTTTATTGCATTCGTCATTTTGGATACTATGAATTATAAACTGATTCATAAACGCCTGTCAACTGTACTCACTGATATGGCACTTGTCGCCGATATATCCAGGAGGACACTGGCACTTCCCTGTGATGTGGTGGCACTGTGCCCCGTGTTCGCAGTCACACACATGCTCACAGCCTTCGCCCCAGAATGCTGGTGAAAACACAGTTTCCTTAAATGCGGACTACGTGAAGTATCACTGAACAATAATGAAAACAGAACACGAGATAATTCATGGAATGCTTAGAAACGGCAATACAAAAATAACGCAAACCATTCATGTAACAGTTATGTTCAAATTCCCAACTTAAATAAAGTAAGGCTATACAGTAAAACCTAACCCCCGCCCCCACCAAAAAAAAGCCCAGAATAGGGATATGAGTAGAAATTTATACCTCGCTGACAGGGCTTCTGACACATGTGGCCGCGCCAGCCCGGGGGGCACTGGCAGGCTCCAGTTGCCGGGTCGCACTTGCCTCCGTTCTGGCACTCGCACTCTAGTACGCAGCCAGGCCCGAACCGGTTGTCCTCGCAGCCTGGAAGAATATCGTGTTGGAGGAGATGATGAACCGCAGATAAAACAGTAGGGTTACTTGATAGATGTAGATATATATGTAGTCATCTTTCTTTCTCTCTCTCTCTCTCTCTCTCTCTCTCTCTCTCTCTCTCTCTCTCTCTCTCTCTCTCTCTCTCTCGCTCTCTCTCTCTCTCTCTCTCGCTCTCTCTCTCTCTCTCGCTCTCTCTCTCTCTCTCTCTCTCTCTCTCTCGCTCTCTCTCTCTCTCTCTCTCGCTCTCTCTCTCTCTCTCTCTCTCGCTCTCTCTCGCTCTCGCTCTCTCTCTCTCTCTCTCTCTCTCTCTCTCTCTCTCTCTCTCTCTCTCTCTCTCTCTCTCGCTCTCTCTCTCTCTCTCTCGCTCTCTCTCTCTCTCTCTCTCTCTCTCGCTCTCTCTCGCTCTCTCTCTCTCTCTCTCTCTCTCGCTCGCTCGCTCTCTCTCTCTCTCTCTCTCTCTCTCTCTCGCTCTCTCTCTCTCTCTCTCTCTCTCTCTCTCTCTCTCTCGCTCTCTCTCTCTCTCTCTCTCTCTCTCGCTCTCTCTCGCTCTCTCTCTCTCTCTCTCTCTCTCTCGCTCGCTCGCTCTCTCTCTCTCTCTCTCTCTCTCTCTCTCTCTCTCTCTCTCTCTCTCTCTCTCTCGTAGTTATTAAGTTTATCGCAACTGACCAGTTTCGCAGTAAGTGCCGCTAAACCCAGGGGGACACACGCAGGCACCAGTATCATGCTGACACGTGGCACCATGTTGACACAGACATGTGTGCTGGCAATTCGTGCCGTAGCTTCCCTTGGGGCATCTGTCCTGACAGGTGGCGCCGGTGTAGCCCGCGGGGCAAACGCAGGCGCCGGATACGCGGTCGCATGTCCCTCCGTTGTGACAAAGGCATACGTGCTGACAGTCGCTGCCCCATCGGTCCACGGGGCAGGCTGTGGGAAAGCAATAACTCTGATGTAGATAAGCAGCGCATAATGATCGCCAAAATGGAGAGGATGTATGTATGCATACTCTTCCATTCCTTTTATTTTCGTTGTTTGTTTTTTTCTGTTTTTTCCTTTTCTTTCTTTTTCCTAGCTGGAAGACTTACTTTTCGAACAGTACTGGCCATGCTTGCCCGGCGGACAGACACACGCGCCAGTAGTAGGGTCGCAGGTCGCACCCGCGCTGCAGCCGCAGTGGGAGCGGCAGTCCTGGCCCCAGAAGCCGTCGGGACAAGGCCGCGAGCAGAAAGTTCCACGCCAGCCTGATAGCAGAGTGTGCATGAGAAAATACATACACTGACAACAATGGTTTCTTTTATTATGAGTAAAGTGAGAAATCGCTAATACAGAGCATATGTACCAGCATTCTATTATACATTACAATTATATCCATTACATGCACTACTTTGAATTACTTACCTGGTGTGCACATGCAGGCGCCAGATATGTGATCACACTTGGCACCGTTGGCACAGCTGCAGTTCATGGCACATCCTGACCCGTACGTGCCATCAGGGCAGGCTGAAGGACATTATAAATGGCTGTTCAAGAATGTCTATATATAGTGCCTAGGTAAGCGTTTGCAATTTTCCTTGTGTGTTTGTGTGTAATTATGTCCATGTATATGCATACATCAATATATATGTATATATATATATATATATATATATATATATATATATATATATATATATATATATATATATATATACGTACATACATATATATACATATATATATATATATACATACATATATATATATATATATATATATATATATATATATATATATATATATATATTCATATATATATATATATATATATATTTATATATATGTATATATATATATATATATATATATATATATATATATATATACATATATATATATATATATATATATATATATATATATATATATATATATATATATATATATATATATATATATATATGTATATGTATATATATATATATATATATATATATATATATATATATATATATATATATATATGTATATGTATATATATATTTATATATATATATATATATATATATATATATATATATATATATATATATACATATATATATATACATACATATACATACACTTATACACATATAAAAACATGTATATATTCGTGTGTGTGTTTGATATGTACAGTGTAGATATATACAGAGTACTTTTCGTATCAGCATAATGCTAGACGTTCCTACTGTGGCAGAAAACTAATTTCAACTTCAGTTCTCCCAGGACAGTACCCGTAGCTGCTCCTCCACCTCGTAAGCACCGATATTCCTTCCCATTTATATATTTTTCCTTTTTGTAATACACTTGAAGGCTCTCAATAACTGCTTTAGATTTTTTTAAATTAGGTATGCTAAATATTCTTCTTTCCTTATTTATCAGAAAAATACTATAGTTTCTAGGCTCTTTAAGAACCCTAAGATACAAATCAGGTTCATTTCATTGATTACTCAAGACTTTCTGGGTATGTGTGTTTTATGAGTGAAAATTATGGAGTGAAAAGTTACTCACGCAGCGTGCAGTGCGGTCCTCGCCACCCGGGGGCGCAGTTGCACTCGCCGCTCACGCGGTCGCAGCCGCCGCTGTTGTCGCAGTCGCACATGTGCACGCAGTCCGGCCCGAAGCGCCCCAGGGGGCACGGCTGCCCGCACCGCTGCCCCGTGAAGCCCGAGGCGCACTCGCATCTGCAGGGTGGCGTGTCGTTATGCAAGGTACTTTAAATGGAAATATTGTTGTATAACTGCATATCTCGAATCTACAACATGTGTGTATATTTTCTCATAATTCCGTAAGTGAGAATAGATCATATATATTCTTATACACCTTAGGAACTTCACTACTACACTAAAATCGTTAATTGAAGATGAGTGAACTTAACTGTAATAACATACTGTATTTGCCAAAACTAAATAAGAAGCAACCCTTATTAATATGCTAGGGCTAGACGACTATTCTCAACAGATAAGTGACCACGCCCACCTTCCACTGACATGGTGACACGCGGCACCGTTGAGGCAGCTGCACGTCTCACTGCAGTCTTTGCCGAACCTTCCAGGCGGGCACTTAGCTTCGCAAGTAGGGCCCTGTCAAAACAGTGATTTGTGGATATAACAAAAAATAATAAGAAAAAAACAATAAGACTAAAAGAGTGAAAGAAATATCAGTATCAATAAGATTTAAAACAAGATTAAATAGATATAGTGAAATGTTAAAGCATATGATATCACTTGAAGAACTATGACTTATTAAGGGTTGAAATCAGTATAAAGAATATGAACCAAATAAAAAATTCAGTTCATATATGCAGCCCACCGTGTATCCTAATGGGCAGTTGCATTCGCCTGTCACTCTGTTGCACTTCCCCCCATTCTGGCACTGGCACTTCTGAAGGCAACTCTGCCCCCACTGTCCCTCAGAACACTCTGATCCACATATAAGTAATATGAATCATTATGTACCGTTATGTAATTAAAGAAAAATAACAACATTAGCCATAATAAGAAATATTTTGCTCAGATTTTGATAATAGATATCCAGGTCTAAATTACAGCAGATAAAGTAAAATCGAAGACCAGAGCATAACAACTGGACTTACGGTGAAGACAAGAGGGGCCGTAAGTGCCAGCTGGACACAAGCAAGTGCCGGAGACTGGGTCGCATGGCAGCATTCCGCACGTGCACACTTTCATGCAACCCGGGCCGTAGTGTCCATCGTCGCAACCTTGATGTAAAGGGGTGGAGGTAAAAATGCAAATGTTGAATTTGATTTTTTTTGAGTCGACTAATAGGAATAAGTACGTGAATTAATAGTATTATTTGCTAAAAGAATATGTGATAAAATGAGCAAAAGGATTAACTGGTACTTCGATGATATACGTTCGATAAATAGTTGAAACTGGGCATCTAAGGATAATAATGATAAAAAAAATCTCCTACCACACAACGTCCTCTTAAATTAACCTTTCCTTTATCCTCATTAAACAGATAAACGATAAGAACAAATAAACAAATAAACAAATAAATAAATAGCAATCCACTGACTCGCATTGCAACCAGGTCCCCGGTAGCCAGGCGGGCAGTCGACGACACAGGCACCGGTGTCGGGTCGGCACGTGACACCGTCGGCACACTGGCACTCGTGGTTGCATCCTGCGCCCCACCGCCCGGACGGACACTCCTCGGAGCAGTCAGCGCCCACGAAGCCGGCCTGGCACTCACACACGCCGCTCTGGGGGGGGGGAGATTCCGATGGATAATGTATAAAAGGAGAGAAAGCAAATGGACAATGCGTGTGCAGAGGTATGGTTATGGAAAGTAAAAAATGGATGTAAAAAAATATGAATAAGTAAAATATCGGTGCCGGATTAGAAAGGAAAAAATATATATAAAAGTAAGATTATGAATATTGACAAATGATATTAAAAATGATTGTAAATGAACAAGATGATGGAATCTTTTTAAATTCCGGCTATATAGTTATATGTTGTATATAAAAGAATATGCATTGCCATCATTGCAAAAAATGAAGCGCACCTCGGGATGGCAGCGCGCGGTGTTCTGCAATTGGCACTTGCAAGGGTGGCGGCAGTTAGCACCCCAGGTCATCGCAGGGCACGGCATGTTGCACTTGGGCCCGAAGCGACCTGGATTGCACTCGCAGAAGCCAAAGACCCTGTTGCAACGCATCGAGGGGCACATCATTGGGCAGCGCCGTTCGCACTTTTCGCCGTAATAACCTGTTGGGAAGAAATGAAGAAAGTGTCATCGGTTGTATTGTTTTTTTAGTCATTTATGGGAATAAATAATTGCAAAAGTGTGGTAAAAAACAATATATTACGTAATTGTTTATTTCTACAAATAGTACCCCAATAAGTAGAAACTTAGAACATCTAAATACATTCTCACCATAAGTAAAAAAAAAATGAAAATGTTTTTATATTTGTTGCCACCACTTACCAGCAGGGCAGCCATCTTCACAGAACTTGCCAGAGACGCCCGGGGGACAAATGCAGTCCCCGTTCACAGCCTCACAGGTCCCGCCGTTCTCACACCTGCATACCTGGGGAGCGGAAATCATACGTGGCTTTTGTATTAAGTGACTGGAGTCGCGGTTGTGCAAACGTGTGTGTGGGTAGTTCTGAGAATTATTTTGCGATGTTGTTCTATTTTCGTGTCAACTTTTATAGGCACTGCATATAAGTAAAGATACACATTTATGTAATTATGTCCTAGTGCATCATTCTGTCTCCGTGGCTAGCGCTCTGGCTATAACACGAGCAAACACAGATGTAAACATTCACACACTCACACACACACACACACACACACACACACACACACACACACACACACACACACACACACACACCACACAAACACCACACGCATTTTCGACGCACAAGATATAAACACACACACACACACACATACACACACACACACACACACACACACACACACACACACACACACACACACACACACACACCACACAAACACCACACGCATTTTCGACGCACAAGATATAAACACACACACACACACACCACACAAACACCACACGCATTTTCGACGCACAAAATATAAACACACACACACACACGTGTATGCGTATGTACGTAAATCCTCGAAACACGACACACAGAAATCAAATCTCCAGGAATATCTACTCAGACTGAAGCCACATCTAAATCGAAGGCCTTTACCTCATTACACCCAACGCCGTAGAAGCCTTCGGGGCAAGGCAGGTCACAGGCCGGCCCGGTTTTCCCCGCTTCGCACACGCATCCCCCAGCCTCCGGGTCGCATTCGCCGGGACAGTCACTGCAGGTCAGTTCGCAGTCGGGTCCGAAGTGGCCTGGGACGCAACCTACAGAGAGGGATAAGGTGTTCTGGTATATGCTTGTGTTGTTGAGTCATGATATGTATCTTCTAACTTTTGTTATACTTTCTGTGTAGCAGAGGTACTTTCATGATTTTATATGTCAAAAACAAGACAAATCAAGAATAAAAAAAAAAAAATCACAGACCATTCACACACAAAAAAGAAAGGGATAGATAAAAAAGACGATCAATCCCAAACTCACGGGTAATGATGTTGTCCACCTTTGCCTGCTCTGCGTACGTAATGGTGTCAAATTCGTCAAGTTCTGGAGGAGTCGAGTCCCCTTCGCTGTCGTCTTCAAGTTGTGTGATTCTCGCTTCCAGTTCGTTGCTGGCGTAGTCGTAGTCTATCACTGAAGAAGCGAAAATACAGAGGTACAGTTGCGGTCAAAAGTTCTGCTTTCAAAGCCTCACTCACTCAGCGAGTTCTGCTTGTCTTAAGTTGCCATTAAGGAAACAGTGACACCTTCCTTATGATAAGTAAATCCATGATAAAAAATACATGGATATTAAGTGAAGCTGGAGATTAATGTCCTCTGATGATATTTAGCTCCAAATGCTTTCTTGTAAAGACAATGTACTACTGTTTTTGTTGTGATTTTATATTAGTCTGGAACCTGCTTTGGAAGCAGACTAG